CCTTTCTTTTTTCTGTTATCTTTTTTTTTTTGTTCTATATTTTTGTGTGTAGTGTATGGTTTACAAACATGACAGATAAAATTGAATGGCAAATGTGGAAAGAATGCACATAGAAGGAACTTGGATTTGGGCTGGCCATTGGTGGTTCACACCTGTAATTTTAACTACTCAGGAGGCTGAGATCTGAGGATCATGGTTCCAACCCAACCTGGGCAGGAAAGTGTGACTTTGAGTTCTAATTTAGTTCTAATTAACCAGCAAAAAGCCAGAAGTGGAGATGTGGCTCAAGCAGCAGTGAACCAGTCTAAAGTGAAAAGGCTAAATTATAGAGCCTAGGACCTGAGTTCAGGCCTCAGTACACACACACACACACACACACACACACACACACACACACACACACACACCACAAAAGGCTGAGATTTAGGGCTCAAATATGTACCTTAGTAACAGTGTCACATTGGGTAAGGCACTAAATATCATTGAGCAGGAATTTTCTTTTCTTTCCCTTTCTTTCTTCCCTTTTTAAATTTTTATTTTATTTTATTTTATTTTTTGGTTGGTTGTGGGGCTTGAACTCTGGGCTTGAGTGCTGTCCCTGGGCTTTTCAGCTCAAGGCTAGTGCTCTACTGCTTGAGTCACAGCGCCACTTCCAGTTTTCTGGTGGTTTATTGGAGATAAGAGTCTCAAGGATTTTCCTATCTGGGCTGGCTTTGAACCCTGATCCTCAGATCTCAGCCTCCTATGTAGCTAGAACTTCCTTCCTTCCTTCCTTCCTTCCTTCCTTTCTTTCTTTCTTTCCTTCTTTCTTTCTTTCTTTCTTTCTTTCTTTCTTTCTTTCTTTCTTTCTTTCTTTCTTTCTTTCTTTCTTTTTCTTCCTCTTTCTCTTTCTTTTTCTTTTTCTTTGATGAAGATTGAACCTAACCAACCTCATTGCACCTCCAGCCCCAGTGAGCACTGATTTCCATGACTGTGAAAATGGAATAAAAGCCACAAAGCATTACTATTCTGGTCTTCCTTACCCTGAAAAACTATGTAGAAAACAAAATGGGTAAAATGTTTGCAAAGAATTAAGAACAGATAAAAAATACATGGATTTGTATGTATTGGGAGGCTAGTAACTTCATAAAATATACTAAACTGGGGCCTGGGAAGGTGGCTCAGCGGTAGAGCGCTTACCTTGCACGTATGAGGCCCTGGGTTCGATTCCTCAGCATCACATAAGCAAAAAGAAAAAAGCCGGAAGTGGTGCTGAGGCTCAAGTGGTAGAGCACTAGCCTTGAGCTGAAGAGCTGAGGGACAGAGCCCAGGCCCAGAGTTCAGGCCCAACAACCGGACCCCAAAAAAATAAAAAAAATAAAATATACTAAACGTCAGAAAGTTCTGGCAGCTCCGGATCCCAAACTCCACGTGCATATGATTATTAGGTTTTTATGATTAAAAGACTTCTTTAGTTCTTTTTCTTTTTTTCTTTTCGGCTACTGCTCTACCACTTGATCCACAACTCTACTTCCAGATTTTTGGTGGTTAATTGGAGATAAGAGTCTCAAGGACTCTCCTGCCCATGCTGGCTTTGAACCCATGATTCTCCTGATATCCAAGTAGTTAGGATTACAGGCATGAACCATTAGTACTAGATTTAATTGTTCACATTTGAAATCCCTGCATATGTCCTTTAATTATTATTATTATTTTTTGGGTCTGGTCATGGGGCCTGAACTCTGGGCCTGGGCGCTGTCCCTCAGCTCTTCAGCTCAAGGCTAGCGCTCTACCACTTGAGTCACAGCGCCACTTCCGGCTTTTTTCTTTTTGCTTATGTGGTGCTGAGGAATCGAACCCAGGGCCTTGAGCATGCAAGGCAAGCGCTCTACCACTGAGCCACCTTCCCAGCCCTGTCCTTTAATTATTAATCTAGACTCTCCTCCAAAGACAGATGGCTACTAAGATCTTGGAAGAAGTGGGATTCTAGTAAAAACACACAGACCTGAAAGCAGTGCATTGATTATTTTATTAATTTCTTCTTTGTACATTATGGGAAACATTTATCTATTTACATTTTTTTTTTGCCCACACACAATCTAGGTAAATGAGCCTATGAAATTCCAATTCAGAAAGCCATAAAAATGTTCCCCACCCCTCCATCTGAAGGCTTTCAAATGAATCTATTTTTTTCCAAACCAAAATAAGTTTTAAAAATTACATTAGGGAATTCAGATCTTCTAGTGATTTACATTCCCATTATTTAAAATATGCATCTAGACATGTATTTAAAAAAGAAATGGTAAATTCACAAGGATAAGGGTTAAATGAAAGTCGGAAATGCACAGTCAAACATTAAGGGCACATCTATAAATAACAGAAATATATTACAAATAAATTAGTTCTATTTACCATTTCAAATATTAAAAATCTTTGATCCATTTCTTCATCTCTCTTTACAAAAAGGTTATGTGAATTGTATGGGGACAGCTACAAAAAATATAATAAATACGTAATTTCTTTGATTATTATTTTTTTTGGGAGACAAACTTCTTTTGTAATTCTCTCCCTCCCCAAGAAAATGCTCAACTTCTTTATACCAAAGCTAAACAAAATAAGTAATTTTTCAGGGCACATACATTCTCCATTATGAACTTAAATAAAAACATTTCTACAAATTACATCAAAAAGAATGATGTAAGAAGGATTATGCTCGTGAATGTCAGGTCAGATGGTTAACAAGCAGCATTGAATAGGGTCATGTTGTAACATGAATAATTAGCTTTTTATAAAGTGTTTGTACAATTTAAACTGTGTTTTTAAGGAAGGCAAAGGTCATGATGCCCTAGGCCTGTTCCACTAAAAGATTTTAAATTCTTACCAAAAATAGCTTTTGAATATACAAATACCATTCACTTAGACAAGATAAATAGACCTTCTCTCATCTCTCTTTAAAATATCCTGGGCTAAATCAGTTGGCAAAGAAAATATTTTAAGATGATCTTGAATCACATTAGCAAGTGATTTCATGATCCAGATCTTAATGCTACCTCAGAGCCTGGAGCTATACTTGAACATGGATCTGGGGATGGATGCTGCTTCCTTTATGCTAATCTGTAGTGAATAGGACCACAGGGACCCACGGTGACAGTTGGCCTTCCTTCTACAACCTCGGTGATCTTTCTTTCATCACTGCTACAATGTAAAGAAAAGTATATTGTTTTTGAAACTAGCAAGTACTTGAGCTCCAAATCTGTTCGCTCCAATTTTACAAATCATTTCAGTGCTTTGTTTACCCTAGTTAAAAGTTGGTTCGTTGGTGTTTAAATAAGTTAGTAGCCCTTTTCTTGTAAACCACAGCAGTAAACATCTGTGCCCTGTTGATAAAGATAGCTCAAAGCATTGATGGCTCTGAGAGGTAGCAAATTCTCTAGTGGTTTTTAGAATATGTCCGTGAAAATATTTGTTGCCAGAATCCATCACCTCTCTTAATTTATAGAGAAAATAAAATTAGCACCTGGCTATGAAAGTGTATTTTTTTTAAAAGAGCTTCTCTGGTGCAAGCATATTTGATATTATTATTATTATTTCCTTTGTTTTTTTAATGGCAAATTTCTAATGCTTCAGGGTGTGAGCTTGATATAAAATGCAGGTGAGACTTTCAAATCCCCACATTGGAAATGTTTAAACTGCTACAAGTAAGGGCATTTGAAAACAACTTCAGCTAATCACTAATGTCATGCATCCTGCTCATCAACCATGACTGAAAATGGGAACCAAAGTTCTCCGCCAGAAGCTTGAATTTGTTTCAGTGTCTATGAATCCTCCTCCTCTTCCTCACCTCTTCAGGCCAAACATCTCTCTCTCCCTTGAACCTCAAAGTGACTGTGGCAGCTCTTCAAATGAGGCAACCTGTCTACCGGGAAGGGAAACTTCTTTTATCCACTTATGATAGTCTTCTGCTGGACAAGTGAGCTCTGTATAGTGGTGAGAGGAAGTTAAAGAAGAAAGATCCCCGAAATATGAAATACTAGGTTAAACTAGATGCACGGGGAGCATTCAGAAGGATGATGGGAAAAGCCAAAATCTCTGAAAAGAGCTTCAGAGGCAGATGGGTATTTCTATGTATGGATAGAGTGGTAGGGCCACTCTAAATCAATAGGATTTACACTTCCCCTTTAAAAATCACCGCTACCACTCCAAGGTAAACACACATGGTACAATAAAAGTTGATTAAAAAAAAAGTAAAAGAAACATTTCAGATCTAAATTTGTATAATAAGACAAAAAAATCCCTTCTGTTGAATCTTTAAAGCATCAGTGCCTTTGCCTTGCCTTTCTTCTGGTTATTGCCTTTCAGAATAGATTAATTTCCCTGAAAGATGGAATTTACAATCTTCTGCTGATTGAAACATTTGAAGCTGTGGTTGATGATGGAACACTGAGGCAGGTTTTGTGCAGCTGTGAGCAATGAAGTCCCCCCTCCCTCTGGGGACAGGCAGGTTTGTGTCTCCCCTCTCTCCCTCCCCTCCCCCACCCCCCCATTTCCCCAACCCCCAGGCCAGCTTGGTCCCTTGTCTCTTTGTTACTCTGATTCTGGTGAGATGGTGTGAGTTTTGAGCTTGGAAAGAAAGTGTAATCTGGGTTCTTTATCTTTCTTTTCTTTCTTTTTTCTTTTCTCTTCTTTCTTTTTTTTTTTTTAAAGAATAACCACTTGGAGGGAAATAAAGGGAGTCGGAACTCCTCATTCCTTCACGTGGAAGACGCTAAGTCCCAAACGGATCACCTAGTGATAGACTGGATTTCTGAAATTCCCTATGGTTTTTATATTGCTGACACACTAGCTTGAGAGAACTGAGGATGGCAGGTGACCTAAGGGTGTAGTGTCTACACGGGGGGTGGGGGCGTGGGGCTGGCTTGGCCCAGAGTCCTCAGGACAGGGGACGAAGCTTGGTGAAGATGGGCAGAGTGATCTACGGAGCAGAGGGACTGCTGGGGGCTCCAGGAAGGTGGACAGGGGGGGGGAGGGAGGAGGAGGAGGCTTGGAGGGGGCGTGGCGACAGGAGGCGGGGCTGGGTCGGGGGCGGGGCTTCTGGAGGGCGGGGCCCGCGGTGGGCGGGGCGGGCGGGCTCAGAGCCGAGTCTGCGCCTCGGGGATGTAGATCTCGATGCTCTCGGCGCTCTCGGTGGCCGAGTTCTGGCGGACCGACGCGGCGCGCTTGGCGGCCATCAGGCGCTTGCGGGCCTCCTGGCGCTGCGAGCTCTCCAGCGAGCGCTCCCGGATCAGCGGCGCAGGGCCCTTCGCCGGCTTCTTTGGCACTGGAGGAGGGGCCCTTCTCTCCTGATCAAAGCAGAAGGTTCAGGACATTACACAGCTTCTCAGGACAAGCTTGGGAAAGACTCGGATAGGTCAGTAGTTAGAACATCACACACACACTTGTTGGATTGTTTTTAAGATGTTACCCTAAGGGGTGATTACTGTTGATCTGCACACTGTATAGACATTTCTTTCCCCTCCTCTTCATTATTCTGGTTTGGGTAGTCAAAGGATGCAGGAAAACTTAAGAAATCCTGATGAGCTTAAGGCCAAGGGCAAGACTGGATTGCAGAACTAGGCCTCTCCAAGGGCAGGATGTGAGTATTTTAAACACCTTCCTCTACCCTCTCATCAGACCCCTGGTTGAAAGACTGAGGACCCCAGCACCTAACACCTGGGGAAAATAGGGTCTCTGGAGGCTCCAGGCTCTTCCTAGTGCCAGAGATGGGCTAGGAGAGCACAGTAGCTGCAGAACTATCTAGAACACTGGATCCCCTTTACGGAGGCAAGTCGCATCATCATCATCATCATCATCAATGTGCCCACCCAGATTCCCCTGCCCTCCACACTTAGGCACCCAAAGAAGCTTAGAAGACCATGTCCTTTAGCTCTGTTGATACCATGGTGAGTGAGACCCTCTGCGTGTTACTCGAACACACAGCAATACAACGTACAGGGTGACCGAATAGGGAAGATCCTGCTATTTCCTACCCTGGGGGGTGGGGAGGCAGGTCATTTCCTCAAACATCCTTCTTTAACAATGTCAATCCTGGGGAGGTCTCAGGAGAACTAGTAGTCCCAAAGGGAATTCCAACCACAGGGAGAGAAACGGCCAGGAACGTTTAACACTAGGCTGAAGAAGGCCCATCTGGCTTATCAGCAGCAGCAAACAATAAAACGGCAAAACATAACGGTTCATCTCTTTGGCAAGAAAACCAGTAGGGTGGGAGAAGAAGGGCATCTAAGGCACAATGCTTTAGAAAGAGGATGTTCAGCTTCCAGGGTGTGAACAGATCTACACAAACCCAATGTGTCCATTTAAGATAAAACATCCCAAGTTGCTATGGAATAAAATGTGACCCTGTTCTTAAAATCTGGATCAGATCCAAAGGGCACACTTTGTGTCTTAACACAGGCTCAGGGCAGCAGTTCTTCCTTGCTTGCCAGGAAGAAGTACCAAATTCGTTGTAGTACAATGCACTGGCCCACAGTTGTCTGAGGTGGTGGAAAAGTCGTGAAGGGGAAGCATAGTGCAAACTGTCCACCATCACAGTATTAGATTCTTTTTCTCTCTCTCTCTTTCTTTCTTTCCTTTCTTCCTTTCTTTCTCCCTCCCCCCTTCTAAGTCCATGGCATGGTGAAAAGTTCTGATCATTGACAAAATCCATTAAAAATGAAAACCTTTAAAAGTTGAGATAACTAATGATTCACTGTGCATGTATCAAGAGGTCTCATTATTGCAATTTGTATTATTTCTTTGGGACAGTTTAGCTCTTCATTGTGGGGTAATTCAGTGGATATTTTTAGAAGTATGACTGTTGGGAACTTTTTAGTCATTTACCTTTCCCCCTCCCATTTTTCTTTATTATTATTATTTTCTAATGTGTCAGTACTGAGGCTTGAACTCAGGGCTTTACACACGCTCTCACTTGGCTTTTCCACACAAGGCTGGCCCTATGTGAGCCACACCTCCATGTCCAGCTTTTTTCTGGTTAATTGGATATAGGAGTGTCATACACTTTCCTGCCCAGCTGGCTTCAAATAGTGATCCTCAGATCTCAGCCTTCTGAGTAGCTAGGATTATAAGTGTGAGCCACCGGTGCCCAGCCTACCTTATTTTGTTGTGGTTTTTTTTGTTGTTGTTGTTTTGTTTTAAGAACGCTTTTTAAGTAATCAATGAATGAGAAATAAAACGGATCAATTCTGGAAAGTAAATTACCAGCACGTATATACCTGCCAGGATTTCTTCAAATAAGATCCACTTAAAAGCCTTGACAGCAGATAGCTTCACACGCAGAGTAAAGAAAACTAAATGTGGTACAATGTTTGGCTTCTCAACTAAAGGCCCAGATGTACACCATATAAATTTCATATTTAATACTACAACCCCCAGTTTGGTGGCAATAGAACTGGAGGTGGGGACAGTGAAGAGATGGCATTCTGTTACAGACTGTCCCTTGGGACCAGATTTCTTCCTGGAGTCCATTGACCCCAGGAACCCCAATATAATGGGCAGCAGTGTCAATAACTAGAATGCCATTGACTCTAATAAAGGAGGAGACTTGAAGAGAGCAAGACCACCATTGCTTCAAAGGCGCCTCATTTTCTGAGGTTGAATCTCTTGGAACTATTTGACCTCAGGCAAGTATTTCAAAACAGTCATGTATGAAGGACAGCCTGAGGAAGCAGACATTGGATACTTGTCTGAGCCTGGTGGAGCCACCCTAATCAGATATGAAATTACAGTTGCTTAATTAAAGTAAAAGAACTCCAGTCTTTATTTCTAAACTGTTGCATGAGGACCACAGTGAGCAATATTTCCCTCCCCAGGCAAATCAACCAAGAGTAGAACTTTGGAAAAAAAAATCCCAACATTTATGATGACTACGGAAGCTTATGGTGTTTTAGACTTGAACCACAATGATTTGTTTATTACTATATTTATGAGATGATCATCAAGTCAGTTATTTTTCAGGGCTTCCTAATTTTCTTGGAAACACATCCTCAGCTTGTAAGGAAGTTGAACTCTTGCTCTATGGTACCATGCATTGTAGATGTCATTTATTTTCATTTAAAAAGCAAAAGGGAGGCAGTTCCTTCCAATGACTAAAATGGTTTAACTTAAAAGTTTAATTGACCAAAAAAAAAAAAAAAGCCACATTCCCATTTTCCAATTCACAAAGACAAGGTATTTTTTTTCTTTTAAAATATGCCTGAAACATATTACAGATAATATCCCAAATGATTACTATGTAAACATTGTCATTACAATGAAATTTATATGATATCAGCTCCATTTCACATTGTAAACAGCAGGACTGAATGCAGAAGCCTATTTAGACTGTCCAGCGTTTGTACAAGTTTTTAAATGAACCATACAAAATCTACATTGTTCTACCTTCTTGTCAAGAGGATCCATCTGTTTCCAATTATTGGCCTTTAACTGATGAAGTTCGTCAAATTTCATACTAATATTTTCTATGGACAACTGCAGCATGTCCCAAAACCCCGCCAAATCCTGGGAAGTGGGTCTCGGATGAGCATTAGGGTTCTGTACAAGAGAAAGAAACATATTTATGCTTTAGAGACCATGTGACACACCGGGCTCAGAGCCAATGAGACATTTGCAAATATTCCAAATAATGTAAGAATGCCGGGTTCCTTTTGGTGCAAGGAGATAAAAGCGAGGCTATGAATGGTAATCTTATCTCCACTTTTGGTTGGAGTTGGTGACTCAATTGTCAAGGCTGTAAAATTCCTCTCTTAGAAGTATCTAGACTTGTTGTATGGGTCTGATAAAGCGGATAAGGTCAAACATTTGAAAAATTCTAGCATGAGTTATTATACCCTGCATTTAAAAACAACACATTTAAATACCAACTTTGAAAAAAAAAACAACTTAGTATATTTATATTAGATATTCAACACTATGCCCCATAATTTGTTCACTGAACAGATAAGGAATCTAGAATATGATTAGATTTAACATTCATGTTGAATAATAAAGTAATGTTTTCTAAGCACTCTGTAGGTATGTGTTTGGTTTTATTTCGTGGGTTTTGTTTTTTGTTTTTTTTTTTGGTTCTGGGTTGAACCTTTAATCTACCATTGAAACACACCCTCAACCCTTCAAAATACTATGTATTTGGCAATTAAGATGTTATTAGTATAGGAATTCATTTTATGTGTGGCTGCTTGGATAAAATCACTTAGAATTTAATTAGATTTTTTTTTTTTGTCATGGGGCTTGAACTCTGGGCCTGGGCGCTGTCCCTCAGCGCTTCAGCTCAAGGCTAGCACTCTACCACTTGAGCCACAGTACCCCTTCCAGTGTTCTGGTGTTGGTTGGCTTTGAACTGTGCTTCTCAGATCTCAGCCTCCTGAGTAGCTAGGATTACAGGCCTGAGCCACCGTTGCTTGGCATTGTTTGTTTGTTTATTATGCCAGTACTGGGGCTTGCGCCAGGGTGTTGCACTCTCATTTGACTTTTACCATCAAAGATACTGTTCTACCACTCTAGCCACATCCCCATTTCCAGCCTCTTGCTAGTTAAGTCTCATGGACTTTTCTGCCTGGGCTGACTTCAAACTGAGATCCTCGGACCTCAGCCTCCTGAGCAGCTAAGATTATAACCATGAGCCACTAGCACCCAGCATATATTTATTTATTTATTTTTCAGTCCTTGAGCCAATCCACTCAGTCCTTAATTGGTTTTAAATAGATTGTCATATAATACAGTAAGCATGAACAAATATCTATACATATAGAAGCATGATTACAATATGCTAGGATTGTAAACCTTCAGGGTTTGAGTTGGTTTTCTTTGTCCTCACCCATATATCTCTGACAATAGAAGGTATGACCTTAATTTTTCTGATCTAAGAAAGGAAAATAAACCACATTCAAGAGACAAAGGTGTCTTGGTCATTGCTGATCATTTTCTGCAAGGGTAAGGCAGGCAAGTCAGTTTGTGGGAGCCTCCTCGTGTCAAGAGCCTCTGGCTAATGTCACTTTTTTCATGCCATGGAAAATCTGTGAGACCTCATGTTGTATAATAACATGAGGCCAGCTTGTACTTTCAGAGCTCATCCCTACAAAAAATGGTACCATCAGAACTTAAGAAAGAGCAAAGTTGTTGACCATGAAATTTAACAGGGTAGATAGAACTTTGACATCTTTGAATGGACTAGTATCACTAGCCTGGTTTTTCTTTTTAAAAAGGTGTAGGCAGGCACCGGTGGCTCATGCCTGTAATCCTCGCTACTCAGGAGGCTGAGATCTAAGAATCGCAGTTCAAAGCCAGCCTGAACAAGAAGTCTGTGAGATTCTTATCTCCAGTTAATGACCAGAAAACTGGAAGTGGCACTGTGGCTCAAAGTAAAGAGTACTAGCCTTGAGTACAAAAGCTCAGGGACAGCGCCCAGGCCCTGAGTTCAAGTCCCATGACTAGAAAAGAAAAAAAAAAGACTCATTGCTGGTGCTAGTGGCTTATGCCTATAATCTTAGCTATTCAGAATATGGAGATCTGAGAAGAGAGATTTGAAGGAGCTTGCATAGACAAATTCCAGATACTAATTTCAATTAACCAACCAAAAAAACCAGGAGTGGAAGTGTGGCTCAAGTAGTAGAGTAACGAGAGAGTGTACAGCCCTGAGTTAAAGCCAGAACATACAAACAAAAGATGTCTTTGCTGGGCACTATAATCCTAGCCTCAGGAAACTGAGATCTGAGGATCATGGTTCAAAACTAGCCTAGACAAGAAAGCCCATGAGATTCTTCAATTTACCACCAGAAAACTGGAAGTGGAGCTGTGGTTCAAGATAGTAGAGTGCTAGTCTTGAGCACAAAAATTCAGAGACAATGTCCAGGCCCTGAGTTCAAGCCTCATGTCCAACTAAAAAACAAAAAGAAAGAAAAAACAGAAAAGAAGATATATGTATAACTATAGTTCAAAAACATTCTCATAATCCTGATTTTCTTGGAAAAAATAAACTATAACATTGTAAATCCTTGAGTCACTGTTAAAATGTATTCTTGGGGTTAGTATAGCTCAGTGGTGGAATGAATGTCTGCTTAAAAAGTTTAAGGCCTTGGGTTCAATCCTCAGTATCATACAGCAACAACAAAAAATTATTTCAGTGACAATTAATGAAAGGATTTGTGCATGGTATTTTGACTTAGTAAATAATAAAATTTCTTTCTGGGCATGTTAGTGCATGCTTGTAATCCCAATTTGGGGAGACTAAGATGGGTGGATCATAAATTCAAGTTCAGATTGGGGAACACAGCAAAACCCTGTCTTTATAAAAACATTCCTCAACATCTAGACATTCAAAACAGAAAGATAATAGTTTAAACAAAGTGCCTTTCAAATAGTTTTTGATCACACAATATATTTGCCCTTACCAGGAAGAAAAAAGTAAACTACCTATTTTGGATTCATGATCCCTATTGGCTAAACTTTTAGTTTTACCACCAACATAAATAGTAGGGTTGAATACCTTATCTAAAACCACTGGGCTCTGAAGCTGAGATTTTGTACTTTTTAGGGTTTGGGAATATTTACATTTACATAATGAGATATCTTGGGGATGAGACTCAAGTTTAAACATGAACTTCATTTGCATTTCATAAATACCTTACACACGCAGCCGGAAGGTAATTATTTTCCATAGTAAGAGGAGTTGAAGTCTGGGCCTCCCACTTGCCATGCAAACAAACGCTCTACCACTAAAGCCACACCCATAGCCCTATCCTTTTGTTTTTTAGGGGTTTTATTTTGTGTGTGCCAGTACTGGAGCTTGAACTCAGGGCCTAGGTGTTATCTCTGAGCTTTTCTGTTTAAGACTTGAGCCACAGCTCCACTCCCAACTTTTTGCTTGTTTATTGGAAATAAGGATCTCACTGACTTTCCTGTCTGGTCTGGCTTTAAACCTCAATCCTTAGATCTCAGCCTCCTGAACAGCTTAGATAACAGGCATGAACCACTGGTGCCTGGCTCTAGTTTGTTTTTGAGGGAGGGTCTCCTATTAAATTGCCCCTGCTGCTCTAGAACTGAGGGTGAGGGTTAATATCTGGGATTACAGGTGTGTGTGTGTGTGTGTGTGTGTGTGAGACACACAGGGGAGGAGATTTCATGTTACCTTTCCATAGAGGTTTACAATAGATTCCAATCACTCACATACTACACCTGTGTTTAGACTACAACTTGTTATATGAAGTCAGATGTAGGATTTTCTACTTGTAATGAGTATCATGTGAGTGTAACAAAAATTTCAGATTTTGAAGCATTTCTGGCTTCAGATTTTTTTTGTTGTTGTTTGTGGATTTTTTTATTTTGTCCGTCGTGGGTTTTGAACTCTGGGCCTAGGCACTGTCCCTGAGCTCTTCAACTCAAAGCAAGTGCTCTGTTGCTTGAGCCATAATGCCACATTGGGGTTCTGGTTGTTAATTGGAGGTCAGAGTATCATGGATTTTCCTGCTGGAGCTGGCTTTGAACTGCGATCTGCAGACCCCAGTCTGCTGAGTAGCTAGGATTACAGGCATAAGGCACCAGTGTGGCTTGTTTTGTGTTTTTTTTTTAAGGCAAGGTCTCACTTTGTATCACAGGCTGACTTAGAAATTCGATCTCAGACTTAGCCCACCAATTGCTGGGATCACAGAGGGACATCACCATGCCCAGCTGATTTCAATTTTTTTTTTTTTATTAGAAATGCCCAATCTGTAGATCATTGGGCACAAATACCTGTAATATTTTTTCAGTGTACTTAACTCTGTGTCATAGGCAATTTATTCCCTCTTCTCAAAGGATCTCTTTTTTTTGTTGTTGTTGTTGGTTGTGGGGCTTGAACTCTGGGCCTGGGCGCTGTCCCTCAGCTCTTCAGCTCAAGGCTAGCGCTCTACCACTTGAGCCACAGCGCCACTTCCCTCTCAAGGAATCTCTTTGCCTTACCTTTGTGAAATAGATAGGTAAGGAAACAGAAAAAGAGAGCTAGGGTCTGACTGTTCTCCAAATGGATAGTCATGTGACTTCCCACACACAAAAGTGAGTAGCAGCTCAATGCTTAATCCAGGCCATCGTGGAGGTTAGAGGTCAGAAAGTAGAAGAAAGAGCAGGCTGGGTTCTTTGGTTTAGTTATGTTGGAAAAAGCCAACTTTTGTCAATTCATTCTAAGCCTGAGAGTCTGGTTTGGGATAATGTGTAAGTGTATCCAAAATAAAGGGCCTATTATTTTTCTCCTCCTCAGAGTAAGAACTAAAGTAAGGAGGGTTGACTCTCAGTCTGGCCAATCATAATGCTGCTTTTATGTGGCTGTAAGCCTGAGTGAGGCCAACACTAGGCTACCTTGCTTCCTGCTGCCAATGGGGTGGAGCTAACTCCTTCAAGCTAAGGAATAGAACGTCAATTCTGAGTGGAATTTATGGGAATGAGGCCAAATACACTGGGCTGTGAGTCTTGGCTCTGCCTATAACTGTGCTTGGTCATAGATTTTTAGCTTTTCATATTCATTTTTCTCATCTATAGTATCATCATAAAATGATGTCACTATTATTAACTCTAACTGCTCATTCTAAGGATTGAACAAACTCAGACATCTACAGGTGCTTACTTAGTACAGAGTCTGGCACATGTATGCTCTGGGCCTTTCCTGCAGGGGCCTGGCTTCACCACCAATGACCCTCTTCCCCAGTGTGGCACTGGATTCCTGCATTTCACTTTGTTTCTCCTGTTCTCCCAGAAATAAGAGCCCACCAGGAACGAGGAAACATCAGAAGTTGTTTAATAAAGCTTTAAAGTTTCTTAGAAGTCAGCAAATCTCTTCCAAATATCTTGTCTACAATGACATCTTTAAAATCTGCACAAAGTGCTAGGTGTTGGTGGCTTAAGCCTGTAATCCTAGCTACTCAGGAGGCTGAGATCTGAGGATCACAGTTCAAAGCCAGCCCGGGCAGGAAAGTACGTGAGACTCTTATTTCCAATAAACCACCAGAAAACTGGAAGTAGCACTGTGGCTCAAGTGGTAGAGCACGCCCCTTGAGCTGAAGAGCTGAGGGACAGCACCCAGGCGCAGAGTTCAAGCCCCAAGACTGACAAAAAAAAAAAATATCTGCACAAAGTTTACATTCTACTCCACAGTACAGTTGTTCAGTAAATAATTTCTTTGGATATACCAGTCTTGGTATTCTCAGGGCCTGGGTGCTGTTCCTGAGATTTTGTGCTCTAGACTGGTGTTCTACCACTGGAGTCACAGTTCCCCTTCTGGCTTTTTAGTAGTAAATGGGTAATAATTGTCTCTCTAGCTTCCCTGCCCAGACTGACTTTGAACCATGATATTCAGATCTCAGCCTCCTGTGTAGCTAGGATTACAACTGTGAGCCAAAGGCTTCTGGCACTTTTTTTTTTTTTGTCGGTCTCAGGGCTTGAACTCTGGGCCTACACACTGTCCCTCAGCTCTTCAGCTCAAGGCGAGCACTCTACCACTTGAACCACAGCACCACTTCCAGTTTTCTGGTGGTTTATTGGAGATAAGAGTCTCACGGACTTTCCTTTTGGGGCTGGCTTTTAACCATGACCCTCAGATCTCAGCCTCTTGAGTAGCTAGGATTACAGGTGTGAGCCACCAGTACCTGGCTTTGGCTAATTCTTCTAACAACTGTGACTTCCACAGTTTCAGCAGTATAGCTTTCTATTTCCCTCCCTCCTTCCTTCCCTTCCTCCCTCCCTCCTTTCCTTCCTTTCTTCCTTTCTCTCTTGCAGTGTTGGGCCTTGTGCTAGCTAAGGCAGGTGCTCTACCACTTGAGTCATGCCATTTGAGTGTGTGTGTATGTGTGTGAATGTGTAGATTAAAAAAAAATAGCCTAGAGAAGAGAAATGGCTTTTTCTGATTTTCTATTTTCTCTTCATGGAGCTCTGTCTAGATAAATCTCCTTCCCCCTCCTACCCCCAGTCTGTATCTGTCCTTGTAAATAAGATAAGATCTGAAGAGAGAACAATGGGCCAGTGATACAGAGTTAAAATTCTAAAATCATATTTTGGGTCATTTATATTGCAAACCATCAGGGTTTCATGTTCCACACATAAATAGTGGCTTTTCCTTTTCTTTATTTTAGATCAAAGCCAGGCTACTGAAATTATGCTTTAGGAGACAGTAGTAAGCTTTTTATCTTTTGTTTCAAACCCAGGTGAGTTGTAGCTTGCTTTATTTTGCAGTTGACTCTTTTTTTTTTTTTTATGCAGTTGACTCTTAAAATAGAATGGCTTAAATAAGGTAAAATTTTTTCCTTTTTTAAAATTTTACCTTATTTTTCAATTAGTGTCAACTTGTAGTAAGAGGGGATTTCATTGTGATATTTGCATACATGTACATAGTGTACCCTCAACAGATTTACACAAGTAGTAGAAGAGGTGCTTTTCTTTTCTTTTCGTCAGTCGTGGGATGGAACTCTGGGTCTGAGCACCATCCCTCAGCTCACCCAAAGAGAGTGCTCTACTACTTGAGCCACTTCTGGTTTTCTGGTGGTTAATTGGAGATGAGAGTCTCACGGACTTTCCTGCCTTGGCTGGCTTTGAACTGAGATTCTCAAATCTCAGCCTCCTGAGTAACTAGGATTACAGGCATGAGCTATCAGTGCCCAGCTTATTTTCTTTTTTGTATGTCCAAAACTGTTGGATTGGATCATTGTCTCAAAGAAATCTAATGTACACTTCAGGATACCTTCCACCTGTGACCTTTGAGGTAAAACAGAAACTCTGTTTAGGAAATAGCCATTGACAGCTATTTTAGAGAGAATCATGATCCAAGATGTTTTTCTTTGTAATTTTTAGCTTTGAAACAGCAGCTTGCTTTATATTATGGGAAGAACAATAAAAATCCGAGCTATCATATGAAAGCCAGGAAAATGGAAATTTTTAGTTTCATAAAAGCAGGAAATGAAGTTTTAATGTGAGTGCTTTTCTCTCCAAAGATGATTTAAGTGTAAATATTTTTTAAAAAAAAAATTTAAGAAAAGCAGGAAATAAGATTCATTAAAAAGTTGTCTGTTCTAGGTAAAAGACTCCCAAGCTTGAGTTCAAACAGTTTTACTTTAGTTTGGCTAGTCTTGAGGACAAGTTCTTCTCATGATTCTCTACTAGCAGGAGATCGTGAGGAGGCCAAATGTTACCTACCAGGTTTTCTTCACACAGTTCTCTGAACTGGTAGAATTTCTGGGCCATGAGAAGTTGGGCACTGCCCACTGCGGTTCGGATTTTCCCTAGAACTGAAAAGAGCAAACACACAAGAAGTTTACACAGATGCCTCATGGCAGAGATTTAGTCTGGTAAATAAAGAAAAGAGGAGGTTATGATGTCACGATGGGAAAAAACAGCATACGTGGCACGTCCCATGCCCACCCGCGTCCTTGTGATGTGAGTCCATGCACTCCGGGCTCCTGGGCTAACGCATAAAATGAAATGAACATGAACATCATGCATATTTCTTGAGAGTTCTGGCTTCCCATCACAGCACTGCATGAGAAGAGGCAAATAAGGGCTTCTGTTTTGTTTTGTTTTAATTTCTATTTTTTGTGCTGGGCTTCAACTCAGGATGCTGTGTTATCACATGGCTTTTTCTATTCCAGGTTGGTGCTCTACCATTTGAGCCATACCTCCATTTCAAGCTTCATTGCTGGTTAATTGGAGATAAGAGTCTCACAGACTTTTCTGCTTAGGCTGGCTTTGAACCTCCATCCTCGGATTTTAGCCTCTTGAGTGCTTAAGAGTACAGGTGTGAGCCATTGACGCCTGCCTAGGTTTTTATTTCTTAAACTTCTTTTACTCCAAGGATGAATTTCAACTGTTTGTCAGTACAGTTATGGATTCATAAAATCAGCAATCATGGTATACTACCTTGTTTTTCTAACCAGAACTCAAACATAAGAAAAGCAAAGCTTGGAGGGAGGAATCTCTTGGCAATCGCCAGACCTAACCCATAACCTTTATTATTTTGCTGGAGTTCAGCCACTGATTCTGCCAGACAAGGGAACAGTTTTTTTTTTTTCTTTTCCTTTGTGCCAGTCCCAGGGCTTGAACTCAGAATACTGGCATTGTCCACTTCAGCCATGGCTCCACTTTCTGCTTTTTGGTGTTTAATTGGAGATAAGAGTCTCTCAGACTTTCCTGCCCAGGCTGGCTTTGAACTCCTGATCCTCAGATTTCAGCCTCCTGCATAGCTAGGATTATAGGTGTGAACCACTGGTGCTCAGCAAGGGAAAGGTTTTCTAAGCAGAGAGAACATGCAGTTTGCTGCCTAAAGAATACCAGAGCCAGCCCAGCTTGTATGGTGTAGCCCGCTTTTCTCATTAATACAGGTTCAGTTCCCTATATGGACATATAGGGAAGCTATATATCTAAGGAAGCTTTTCTTCACAAGAAAGCTACTTCTTGTTCCCTGTGCAGTCCAAGGCCAGCACCCTGACTGCCAAGTGGATGTGCCCCAACTGGGTGGGGCTCTCTGGAAAACCTCCCCAAGTCTGTGTGTCTCCCAGGGATCCCCTGAACCAGCCACCGATGCAGACGCAGCTACCACTGGTGGAGCACTGCCACTGGGCCATTTATAACATGTCTGCCCTCTGGGGCAAGAGGGAAGGGGAAAAGATGCCCACATGGAAAACCAGCTTCAGAAAAACCTTGGCCCAGTGTGAAAACCTTCCTGGAGAATAATCAACATCTAGGCAATCTTGTTGTTCTGAATTTATAGAGTATCAGAATGGAATTCTATGTGTCTCTCTCTGTCTCTGTCTCTCTGGTCTCTCTCTGCCTCTCTCTCTCTTTCTCCCACTCCAGCTAGTGTGGGTGTATGACCTGGGTGAGAGTTTAGAGCAATGCTTTCTCCTCCACTGAGAACCTTTGGTGCTGGTGGTACTGGGGTTTGAACTCGGGACCTGGGTTCTATCCCTTTGCTTTTTCCTTCAAGGCTGGTACTCTACCATATGAGCCACAGATCCACTCCTGGCTTTTTGATGGTTAACTGGAGATAAGAGTCTCATGCACCTCCCTGATCAGGCTGGCTGTGAACTGTGATCTGCAGATCTCAGCCTCCTGAGTAGCTAGGATTACAGGCTTGAACCATTAGTTCCTGCCCAGTGTCTCCTTTTCTCAGCCACATTCCCCAAAGAGTTTGATAAGAATACAGAAGAGAAAGAAACTTCATTTCCCAGGTTTTTCTAGTAATTTGCCTCTTTCTTGTCTACAATATCAGGCTGGGTAATAGTTCATCATAATAGTTCATAATATATATTATACATGTGACACTACTTAAATGTGTTGGAACATTGTTCATATGTCACAAATCACACCAAATAGCTCAGGGACAGACATGTTCCTTTTCAGTCACAATATGAGGCTATCTGGCAGAAATTCTTCAGGCCTAAGTTTTGACCTTCTTTCTACTTTGCTCTAAAACTCTTTTGAGATGCTTATCATTTCCCTCATTAACTAGGTTTCCTCTCAGTGTCTGAGCATCTCTGATCCAGAAAAGACAGCTATGTAAATATAAGATACTCTGTATTGACCAGACCCCCCTCCAAAAAAAAGATACTCTGTAATGATTGAGAGGTGATTGGGGCACTCATGGCTCATGCCTGTTATCATAGCTATTAAGGAGGCTAAGATCTGTTCATAGTCTGCTTCAGGAAGATTCTTCATCTCCTGTTAGCCAATAAAAAGCCAGAAATGGAGGTGTGACTCAAGTGGATGAGCACCAACCTTGAGTGAAAAAAGCCAAGTAAGAGCTCAAGGCCCTAAGTTGAAGCTTACGTACTAGCACTCACGCGTGTGTACACACACACACACACACACACACACACACACACATTTAGAGTTGATGACCTAAGTGATCCTGAGTTCTTGCTTCAACTTACTGTCACTCAATCTCTGGTTTCTCCTATACAGGAAGAGGGCTAACGGTATCTATTTGTTGAGTTATTCTACTAATCTATATGAACTGTTAAGGATAGTGCTGGATATACAGAAATCATGTAATAAATATCGGTTATGATCCTTTATGGATGTGACAACCAGAGAGTCACACCTACTCTAGTCAGAAGAGAAGAGGGAAAAAAAAACAAAGTCTGAATATTTAAGGGTGACTGGACATCCTGGTTGCTTGAAACAGGTTTATTTTCTGGAGGGTTTGTCCCAGATTTGGCAAGGTAAGTGGAACAGGTAATTCCTAAGTGAATAGGTAGTTTTAAGCGAGCCCTGGGGTTGGGGAAACCTCTCTGAAATATCTTGCCACAGAGCAGATTAAGTGTGACACACCGATTCTCCGAATGTATTTTAGGAGTTTACAAAGAGACTCAAGTTCTCTAATTTGTTGGTTGGGATTCCATAGCTTCTGGAAGTTGTTGTAAAAACTTCAGCTATTCTGATTGACCTCAGGTCTTGAAGTTAGTGGTTCTCAAATATACCTGAGTGCCTGAGCTTCCTCAGACCTCCACAAAAGCAGTCAATATGACAGTGGTTCTTGCCAGGCACCGGTGACTCCTACTACCGAGGACGCTGAAATCTGAGGATCAAAGTGCAAAGTCATCCCAGGCAGGAAAGTCTGTGTGACTCTTATCTCCAACTAACCAAAGTGGAAGTATGGCTCAAGTGTCAGGGCTTCAGCTCCAGCCCCTGCAGTGGCAAGCATGTGCACGCCCACGCCCACACACCACATGATAGTTGTTCTGACCAGAGAAAGCATTGCTCTAAACAGTCATCCAGCTGACACATTCATCCCATGAACAGAGGGTAACTTAAATGTTTTCTTAGAAGTAAAACAAGGGACATCTTTCTTCATTCAGCAAGGTCTGGAGCAAGCCCTGGATTTAGAGCCCTTGTGACAATATCTCGGGTGGAGTTCCTGTCCTTCTGTTTCCCAGGTTTTTGCCTCATGTTCCTTGGATGGAAATTTCTTAGGGACTGCAGGGTACTGGCATCTTTCCTAGGTCCAGGGAAGGGATAATGACGTGGGCCTAAGAGAAACCACGATATGGGAGGGCTGGGGGATAAGTAGGCAACAATTTGTATTTCCTTGCCCGCCACACATTCTCTTGCAGATCACTAATAACTAACTCACTCTGAAGTTAAGAGAGAAGTCCTATTGGGGATTTTCTGGGGTTTTCTTTCCGTGTGTGTGTGTGTGTGTGTGTGTTTGTGTGTGTGTGCCTATAATCCCAGCACTCATGAAGCTGAGGAAGGAGGATCCAGGCCAGCCTAGACTACAGAGCAAAACCCTATCTCAAGAAGGAGAAGGAAGCTAGGTGCTGATGGTTTATGCCTGTAATCCTAACTACACAGGAGGCTGAGATCTGAGGATGTGAGGATCACAGTTCAAAGCCAGCCCAGGTAGGAAAGTCCTTGAGACTCTAATCTCCAATTAACAACCAATAAGCCAGAAGTGGAGCCGTGGCTCAGATGGTAGGGGGCTAGCCTTGAGCACAAAAGCTTTGCAACAGCATCTATGCCTTGAGTTCAAGCCCTAGGACTTGAAGAGGAGGAGGATGAGGAGGGAAATAGAGAAGGAAGAGGCAAAGAAGGAAAGTCAGAAGGAAGATGAGGGGGAGAGAGATGAGCATCTTGATACTGTTTGATAATGTTTTGCACTCTAAAATGTACAATGCCTACCTACAGCAAAAAGAAAATACTCGGAAAAGCAAGAGCAAAAGTAGAACGAGTGAATGAAATACAGGTGCAACTGTGGGCTCTTCCCATACATCTAAAGGAGCACATCTAGTATTAGAAAGTTGGATCAGGCTTTGGTAGCTCACCCCTGTAATCCTCAGGAGGCTAAGATCTGAAGATTGTGATTTGAAGTCAGGCACGAAAGTCTGTCAGAGACTCTTATCACCAATTAGCCACCAAAAAGCGAAAGTGGAGCTTTGGCTCAAGTGGAAAAGAAAATGTTCAGGGGCACTGCGCAGGCCCTGAGTTCAACCTCCAACAACAGCGTGTGCATCCTTGGCACGCGTGCACACACACATACACAAATCTAGTGTTAAGCATGCCTTCCAAAAGTGTTTTCATAGAGCACAAATAGGCCATGTGAGTTCTGAGAATTCATTCAGTCCTTCAGCATGCTATATGAAAGCATTCTGCTAAAGGAAAATGAGATCTGGAAAGCAAGGGTCAAGTCCCTCCCTCACAGAACTTATGTCTTGGTAGAGAGAAGTGGGGAGAGAGCAATAGGAAACATACAGACAGTGACAGAAACATTCTGGATTCACTAGATTACTTG